AACCTCTCGAGATCCCTTCCAGTCCTAGAATCTATGAATCTATGAATCAAGTCAAATTTAAGGTCCCAGGCCTTGGATCCAAGCTATCGAAAAGCTTGCTTACCAACAGCCTTCATTCTTGTGCTTTAACAGCTCCTCTTCTGTAACACAATGTAACGTTTTACCACCAAGGTGAAGGTCATCTGCACAGGAGGCAGAGCTTTCTTGGGGGATCAGTCCTTGTTGGATAAATTCCCAGAAGAACTAAAAACCACCACAGGCATCGTCCCCTTCTCTTCCCAGTGCCAGGTGTGCTTCTTTGACTTGCCTTCTCCAAGATAAATACATGCTAGTATGTTCATTTAAAAAATCTGAACAAAAACAAAACCCTAGATACTTCACCCCCAAACCTCCCCCTGGGGAAAGGATGAGATAAGATGAGATGCTAGTCGTATTGCTTAATGCACTACTGGAATATGCTCCAATACTATAATGATAAGGATGATATTAAAAGGTATATAGAATAGAACAGAATGTCTTGCTTATAGAAAATGCCATAGAAAGGCAAGTTTGGCTGGCTCACAGAATTGGGATCTAGGAAGTCTGAGTTCTAATCCTGACTCTGACCCACAGACTCCAACTGCTACAGTATACACACATGATTATTTTTTTAAATTCATCAGTCCTGATACCCTGTAAATTCCCCCAGTATAGTTATTTGTAAATCTTACTGCTCTAGACACTTTCTAGATACTGAACTCTTGACATAAAATTATGCTAATGGTTAGTAAATTAGGCTACCTGGGCAACCTGCCCTGTATATGCAAAACTCATGGATATGCAAATGGAGAAAGATGCTGATCTAACTCAGCCCAGGCAAAGCCATTTAGTTAAACCAGTACAGATTATGTGTCTAGACAAGGACCCTCTACACCTCTTTGGCAGGGTCAAAAGGCCTTCATTATTCATTAGCATCACGCTCTTTGGTCTCCACTGAGTTTCACTGACACTAAAACAATTCAAAGTTAAATTAGATTAGAATACTACTATTTCCCCCTCCTATCTGCGGCATGTCTACTTTAGCTGAGCTTGTTGCTTGCCTTTGAGGGATTTAAAGCTTCAGAAGCCTATTCTGAACAGGAGAAGCAGTGTT